CCGTTGAAGATGATTTTGTTCGAAAAATCATCATCCAGTTGTTCCATAATCATTTCAGCGAAGTGTCTTCGCTGTGCGTGGTCAGTAGGCTTCAATTCTTGAGTCAATTGACCTTTGTAAGCGTGAAGATACAAATCTTTAGTGAGAATACATTGTAAAGAGCTTCTCGAAATGTCCAATGCTTGACTCGGTGCCGAATTAAAGTTCCCGGACTCCCAGCAACACTCAGGAACTAATCCAATCTCCCTAAATTTTTCAATTAATCTCTTCACAGTCTTTATGAAGTTAATGACTATTCCGACCATATTTTGTACGAAAACTGCGAACTGTAGCTGCCAAATGTTCATTATATTTAAAATATTGCTCAATAATGAAAACGTTGTTCTATCGTGTAGCGCTCCATTTTTTAATAACCCTGAACTGTCTTTTTTTTTCATTAGAAATACTTTATTGCACAAATTGCGCAGAATTGAAATCTTGCGTGAGTTTTGGAACACCCGATACAAAATCAAATGTCAAAGACGACATTTACAGTAGGTATATCGTGTATGTAATGTCTATTACTTTAGCGAAAACGAGGAAAACATCAGAACTACATTAGAAAGGGCAGAATTTGAATCAACAAAAATTTGAGTATATTCAGTGGGATAACACAAAACAATTGGGTAAAGAAAGTAATAACGTAAAAATAAAACTAAAAGAGTCGACTTTTTTTTCGCTGAACGGTGATAAATGTGTTTCAAATCATTTTTAAAATTTTGTAATAATTATTATACGGGGTACATTGTTATTAAATCGACTAATACCTCTTTATACAAATAAAACAAAATAACAAGCAGAAAGGAATAGACATGATAAAAAACTAACATAAATAACTTAAATATACTCTGACTTTTTTCCACATCTGTGAACGAATTAAAAATACGATTTTCAACATTCGAAAAATACTACTTTTTCATGTCGTTAAAGATAAAGGTAGGCAATTTACCCTCCAGTAGACTGTATATAAATCAAAAGTTTTGTATGTAGAATAACTTCTTCAATAAAATTAAACATAAAAGTGTTTTCCCCTCTCGCCCACTCTAATCGTGGAGCTACTGTTGTATACAGAAGTACGGTGATTTACTGGGAATAGGAATCACACCAGATATTTTTATATAAAAAATCTCTTAAAAATATCCATCGGAAGTCGCTCAGGACGAGAACTTTTTTATTTCCATTTTATTCCATTTCTGACTCCCACTTAGTAGAAACTTCAGAAGTCTCAAAAGGCAAACTAAAAACTGATTTTTATCTCTAGATATAATTTTCCTTAAAAAAAATTTTGTTAGATTCACTTTAGGCTACTTCAATACTTCAAGCTCAGGGATGTAGATGTTACATGTGTTGATGTGCATACACCTCATAGAATTTTTAACATTATGAAAATGTATATTATTTCCCTATAAAATATCTTTTAAATGCATTTATATCGGGTATGCCAAAATTCTCAAAAGATTTTCCGCCAGATGTGAGGTAAAGTAAAAACGAAAAACAAAGCTGACGGTTCAGGGTTAATAAAAATGAAGCGCTACTTGAAAAATAACGCGTTTTTATTGTTGAGCAATATTTTTAAAAAAAATGGCTTAATCAATAATTAGTCATACACTCTGGCCGTCCCTCAACACAAAACATCGAAGCAGTTGTTGAGATTCTAGGAACAGCATATTCTCACAAAAGATTTGCAACGTTTCACTTTTGTTGTGAAGTCTTGTTATTATAACGTCCAAAAATGTTTTAATGTTGCACTGAATATGGTGAAAAGGACTTCATTAATTGGAGATTTTTGCTTTTAGTTCTGCGACTCTATTTAAATTTTTACTTACTCTCATTTTTGGAAAATAATCTCAATTATAAATAAGGTCACTGTTGCATTATATTTTTGTTTTCTTTCTTTTATGAATCAAAATATGCTAAAATTAATTTTTCAATTATATGGGTTTTATAAATAGTCTTTTGAGTTTGCCCACAGAAGAAATATTGCTTGTGTAGTAGTTATTTAAGTATAGGAAAAGTTATTTCCTGTTTAAAAGAATGTGAGATTTTTTTTTAGTTTTCTAAAGTACCTTTTCTGGATTTCAGTAGGTACAACTCAGTTTTGAAAGTACACTTCTCAGTTTCCTTGCCATACAAAACTAAAAATATCATGTTTGAGACAGGTCATTCCTTCTGTTCTAATTAGAAGAAGTAGATATGTTGCATTTGTTTTTCTTTCAGTAGTATTTTTTTTAATTAAAAAATTGTTTTTGAATTGTCTCTTACATCGTCAAAGCAACAATAAACTATTAGTAAAGACTAATGTGATAATCCCAGGGTTTAATCCCACCTAACTCTTATTTTTTTAGTCATATGATAATATTCTGAATTTGTAAATACAAAAAACTTATTCCGAATTAAACAAAATATAAGTTTATTAATTACTTTTCTAAACAACTACAAACATTTCACACTAGTATATAATTTTACATTAAGAGAATAAATAAATGTAAACAAAACTTTATACTTTAACTTTGATGCTGCTTGTGTAAAACTAACTGCCTACAAATATTATTGCAAAGATGGATCATCAATAGAAAGAGTTATATAAAAAAATGGTTATGAAGAGTAATAAAAAACTATTCCAATGCTTTATAGCATACATTCGTCTCAATAATCTCGGTATAAAATAATTATATTTATTTCTATGATCTCTCGGAAAATATGTTTTGCAGTGAACTTTTCGACCACTAGCTCCATTATCTTTTGCACTAATCCTAAAGCATAATCCCCTAACATATTGGAAGATTATTTTTATGGTAGTAGTAGAGTATTAATACAGTAAAATGTTGGCTATCAACTTTTACAGAAAAAATTCACATAAGACAGAATATGAAAAATATTTATATGAAAATGTGTCGTAAAACCATTTTTATCTTCGATCGATATATTGCTTTAATATACAATTGGTAACAGCAACACGAAACTATTATGTAGAGATTTTTTGTTGANTTGAATTTGCCGATATAAAATAGGTGCGATAAAATTCTATTTACATATTTCTTTCCTTGCGAAAGTTTTTGTCCGTTTTTATCACGCCGCCATATCGGTCGCATTGTGCGAGGTCAGGTTTTACAGTGGACCAGTTTCCAGTGCCGTGCAGAAGTGTATTTTTAAATCAATTTCGAATTGACCTTTTTGATTTTTTCTTTACAAAATTGTATTTGTAAGTGTCCCCTGTACATCCAGAATTTTTTTTGATAAGTTCTGAATCACCCTGTATAATGAACACTAATTTAGTAGCTGTTAAAGATATACTGGGTCTTTTTTGTACTGTAAGCCAGGAATATTTTATATTTTTTATATACCCAACGATTTTCGAGTCCGCTTGAATTAGTTTTTGATCCTGATGAACATGTGTTTAATTTTTTCACAATAACATATTCCAGCATACTAAAATGATTACAAAGCCAACGCAACAATTTTCAAAAAAAATGTCTCCATTGGCAAAAATGGTAATCATTTTAGTCATCACCTAGGAGTTTTTTTTTGTTTACCTACTATCAATCGAGAGGGGAAACCGAAAATCTTGAGGGTGAATGAGAATTTCTTCAGAACTTTTAGGATGCACCATGGATGTATAGGATTTACTGTCTGATCAAAGATCTTCAAAAATTAAAGGATAAATTGCAGTTTTTAAAAAAAGGATGCATGTATACACTTCCTATAGCGTCTTCTTCTTATTGTTGAAAGAAAATTTAAAAACTCATTAAACACGTGTATTCAAACAAAATACAAAACTAAAGGTAATACCCAACTCCTCTTGAACCTTCCTTCAATATTTGAACTTGTTCTCAAAAGCGGTTACGCGAATTTTTGATACATTTTTGGTATCAAAATAAAAACCGTATACTGGAAACCCCGAAATTTTATCCTCAAATAAATTGTAACCTGAAATATGGCATAAAAAATTAATCAAACCTCGATATTTAAAGTTTCTCATAACATACTTCCAACAAATTTCAGTAAGATACGTCGGAATAAACCGATTTTTGTATTTTATTTGGTATACGGGTCATCAAAAACAGGAAAAACCTTGAATGCAAATAGGTACTTGCGCTAAATTTAAAAGAGAAAATATTCACAGGATTCAGATTTTCTTTCAACAGATTAAGAATTCTCATCCTTGGTGTGATGTGTATAATAAGTTTATTTAGTACTAATAAAAAAATAATACTATATTAATCATGTTCATATGGTTAGTGAAACCTATAAAATCATCGAATTGTAGCTCTAGAATTTTAAAAACGCCCTACTGAACATGGAACACTGGCTGCTTTTTATTACTCAAGAAAAATTAATTGAAGATATAGCTTTAAAAGTTAATAATGCAATTTTATTGTATACAAAATTTAACTATTTTTTCTATTACAGATTGATTGGGATTGATGGGTATGTTCGCAATAAAAAAAATGTCGTTTTAGTGAACGAAAATGAGGGGCAGTTTTATATTTTATGAATTTTTTCATATTCTACAAAATATATGTTTTACTAGACCATCGAATCACTTACCTTAAAGATAATAATCAACAAAATGTCGCTTTTTATGAAATTCATAGACGTAAGATCTATGATGAAATTACGTTTCCCCAGGAAAAAAATGAATACTCTACCGGATATGTACACATAAGAACACGGAGATATTTAATTTTTAGAATATTTTATTTACGAAACTTACATTTCCTTAACGTCAAATGTACAGTTGAAATCATATTTTCTGCCATGGACACAAATGCCGTTGATGGCCCTGGTCGCAAATTGGTTATTACTTCAGCTAATGCACTGCCACACGTTCTAAACACTTTATTAGGTATTTCTGTCCTATGCGCCACCGATTTATCAACATAAGCCTTCAGCGACCGTTGATGACTTCCAACCCCCATGTTTCTTTATTGTCATCTAGTTTCCTCCAGATGCAATTGAAAGCAGATGATCTTCGAATAGCATGACCTGTATATGACTTAGCATTTTCAAGTAGATGGAAATTTGCTACTGTTTCAGGTATCTTATTAAACTTGTAAACTTATATATAAAATATATAAATTTTTACTAACAACCTGATTGATACATTTTCCATTACGATATGCATAAAACAGGCGGCGATCCTTTGCTGCTGCTGGACGAAGGGTTATGTACATTCTGTAAAATTTAATATATTTTTCAGTAACTATAAATCTCCTGTTTACATCGTTCTTTATTTGCTTAAGTTTATTAATAACGTTCCCGAATCTTCAGTATCATCTAATGTTAACTGGCTGATTTCACAAATTCGACAAAGTCCTACAATCCCAAATACAACAACCTTGGCCATTAAATAAAGTTCATCAGGCGAATTATTTTCAAAATCACTAATATGTGTACTCGTAAGAATCGCAGATTTCTTGGGCATGTGACCTTTCTCATTTTGCTTCAAAAATGTAATTAATATAGTTTGCAATATTTTGAAATGTCTACGTCAGTATTGGATTGAAACGTTGAATCATTGAATAATTCGACCACACTTTTGATGGCTTTTGTTTTTGCGCCAGTTCCGAAAAATAAACCAATAATGTCATCTCCGAAAAAAAACAGCTTGTCTTTTTCACCTTCCATTCCATAAATCTTGAATACGCGGTTTCTTAAATTTTCCGCGATTTAGCTGGCAATAATTTTAGTGATGCTACTTTTACTGCGTCTAATTCCGGTGGTGTAAGAGAAAGCTGTGAATCTGAAATGTCCATTTTTGAACTTTAAATATTCAAAATAACTAATAAATAACTTAATTTCGAAATTTTTTAAACCCAATCTTCGAATTAAGTCGATAGATATTTGATTACTTTAAACTTTTCCTTAGCAACACAGTCCCAATATCGCTATAAATACAAGAGCCTACCAGCCTACAAACACAACCTCGAGATAGAATCTAATACTTTTCCCTTGTATAATAAATAAGTATTTATTTAATTATTAGAAAAAACATATGAAATATTCAGTTATAAAGTGCCATATTACGTCAGTTGAAGGTAATTTCCATCAAGATAAATTGTCTCCAGCGAAAATTCTTGCTTGAAAAGAGGAAATGAAATTGTCTCCGTTCCGTATACACGAATAATGAACAAACAGTAACGGATTGTGGATAAAATTTCCCTTGCAGACTGGGACCATTTACTTGGAAATCCATTTATATGCACTTAGCAACCGGACGTCATTTTAGGCTCTGTTCTTATCTATTAATATTGGGAATAATGTGTATTCTTCTGCCTCCCTTAGTGAATAATAATTGCCCTTCATTTTCGCCATCAGTCATAGGTGATTTCAGTGAATAATAGTTACACCTTTAGCAGTTAGTTCCTAACAATAAGTGACTACTGAACTGTGATTGTGTGCATTGTGAAGCCTATTTACTGTAAAAGTAATAACCTGTATTTAATCGTCAAAATTTGTATTATTAAAGTGAAATCAGGTACTTAGAGTGTTATGTCTGGCTGTTTTCTAAAACAAGTACCAGTATGTAACTTTTTTAATTATATATGCAATATACCAGGCACCAGGTTGTTTCCTGAGTAAGTAAACAAGTTCTGGAACTTTGGAATTTGATGTTTCTAAATATTATTAGACCAAAGCTCGCCATTAGGCAGATGACGGTAAACTTACTTTTTTAACAATAATAAAGAGCATTCATAAATAATTACAAGCCAAGTGACCAGTAACTTTGTTTGGAACGGTAAAATTAAAAATTATTAAAAAATAAGATAAATATTACATTCAAACACGGCATTCTGTTTCACCGGCTGTGACTGATCTAATTGTTCACGAGATTCTATTCTCCGTTCAACGATCGCATTATCTCGAGGGTAGACGTAACGGTTTGTCATTGTTCATTGTAAACGAATCGTTAATATTGGTGACGCCAAGATGTAGCGATTTTTCGTTGGCAGTACCAGCCCTGCAATGTTGGTTGCCTAAGCTCAGCAGTCACGTGACTTTTAAATATTTATAAACGCTGTAGTTTACGCATATCCTTTAAACAAATACGTGAAACCCCTCCAAAGTGTCGAAATTGACCCAACCTGCAAAGCATTACTTATCTTATTTCATTTTTTTTAAATACAAATATAAAAAATATGCATCTAAATGTCCATTTATTTTCGAAAATTTCAATAATAGTTTCAAATATTTAAATCATTCTACAATTAATTAATAATGATGGGCTTTGATATAGAAACATAAGTTAGGGGAAATTTTTTTATTATCAATTCGTGGATTATCGAGATTCTGACTTAAATTCATAAGGAAATTAAATACAACGTGTAACTAAGACAGGCTCTCCCATTTAAAACATTTAAAATAGATTCTTCAATAATTCAGATAGTATCAAAGATACTAACTTCATATTTTTTGCAAATGAAAATTATTCTATACATCATTACATTTTTCATTTTTTTATTAAATTTATGACATTGGGTCTGAAATTTTATTAAACTTGGAAAAGAGAAATGCAAAATTTTATTAAGGCATGTTTGGGGTATGTTTCTTATAGCTCCCAAGATAGGTACATATAAAATGATAAGATTTTCAAAACTACAAAAACTGTAAATATCATCTTTGATGATTGAGTCAGCACGTCCTGCAGAATGCACACTGATAATAAAAATAGTTAATAAAGATAAACATGCAAAATTGTACAAAAATACGAAAACATCTACAACGAGAATTAGGTATCTACCATTTGGCTGAGGAGTACATAATCGAAAAGATTTCATAAAAATCTCATCAATAATATGAAGAATTTTGAGTGTAATGTTTTTTGAAAGTTGCCTTTTTCGACTTTGCTTATCGTGCATTATGATAGAAGAATAAATTTTCCTCATAAATTTCCACAAGAGAAAGCCATATACTTTTAGATTGATAGGTCCAGTAGCTAGCCGATTAATAGGCCTCATAAATCCATTTATTGGAAAATGTTTATTAAATATATTATTTTGACTGTTATCGCCCGGAAACAATGCTATTATGTGGCATCCATTGTTTAATGCTGAAATAGTAACAGTAAATATGACGATAAACTTCAAATATACAGCAAACTATAAAAATAGGTCCTGATAAAATCGAAAGAAAAAATTGACAAGTTATTTGCAACATAACTTACTTTCTTCCTTGCTTTCCTGGTAGGTATATTTAGGTCTCTATTTCCCTTTCAAAATGAATACGCCTTGAATTGGGAATAAAACAAGAAAGTAAAGGAAGACGAAGTGTGAAAAAAGTTTAATTATAGGAGGACAAAAACATGTGATTAGGAAAGGGGGATACGATAGGGAATTTCAACAAAAAATATTGGCTTAAAACATGAATGCACATCTATTTCAGCAAACAATCGAAACCAAATAACTTTTTACTACATTTTCGTTAACTTCGGCAGGAAATGGCAACTTTTAACAAGAAATTCAGAAACACTTATTTGTATGATCTCGTAGTGAATGAAATATACAGGGTCATAACAGCAAGCCACCGAAATTTCTGGGATCGTAGTAAGACGATTTAGACAGAGCTTTTAAATGTGATAAGCTTAAATTAAATTCCTTATACATGTCACATATTCTAAATATTGCTTTCGAGTATAATTTTCTAAGTTGTCTACTAAATATTCCTCGACTTAATGTGCATTCCATGTAAAATAATAAAAATATATGTGATTGAACTTTTAAGGCCCGTAACTAGTGCTTCTCATGCCTAAACGAAAGGTAAGAAGCTAATTTTGTTGTGTCTTGTTTATTTTCAAAAATATTTGATATATAGAGTGTTCGAGTGCTGCAAAAGCTATTCCTCTTTAAAGACATTAAATAACACTCGATGTCTTTTTCATCAAAGTGGACCTTAAATTCGATGAGGAAATAAGAAATTGAATAATATTTAGGGTGTTCCCTTTTTAAACGTACCTACTAATTTTAATAGTTGATAGAAAACTTGATTTCAAACAAAAAGATCCATATCAACATAGGCCGTAAATCGTTTCTTAACCGAGAGACAGGGTGTCAAATTTAATTTTTTTTATGTTTTTATTGTGATATCTAAAAAACAGCAAGACATAATGTTCTTTAATAACTACCTACAAACTATTCACTACAACCACCATACCAGTGGCATGGTAGACAGGCAGTCAGTACTCCTTTTTTAAAAAGAATTTCTACGCCTATGGGCTTTTTGAACTTTTGACGTATAATTCTGAGTAAATGGCGTGAAACCCTTTTAGTGCACATATAATTTCACAAAATTTTAATTGATTCAGACAGATCTACTAAACGATCGACTTGTTTGCTGGTCATTCATTGTTAGTATCTTACAAATTTAGTAAATAAGTGTCAGTACCATTATCACAATGTAAACAAAATGAATAGCGAGAGGGGGTCTTGTATCATGGCTTCACCGGTCACATTAATTTTTTTGATTATTTTTCCTGAGGTCATATGAAACAGCGAGAATACTGGTCTCCGATAAAAATAAGGGAACAACTAAAATAGTGCATTAAAAATTCTGCACTATCCATCACAACAGTATATTGTTGGAATTTGATTACCAAAAATTTCATGAAATTTAAAAAAAACTCGGACATTCAAATTCTGTTTAAAAAAACTGACTACCCGTCTACCACGCCACTGGTGGTTGTAGTGAATTCCTTTCGTTAATATTTACTGGTTTTTAGATTTCACAAAAAACGTTAAAAAAATTAAATTAACTGTTAAAACGTGTAAACACCCTGTATATTCGAAAAATTAAGTTGAGGAACGCCTTCACGAAATGAGACACAATGTATAATTGAAAATAATTTAAAAATCTGAAAAATTGTTTTATTGCGACATTTATTTAATTTTTTTGTATTTTGATATTTATAGGGCCATGGAAGAGCTTGTTCAACGTGAGACACCTTTATACCAAAAGGCCAAATATTTCCCTCTCCAAACTTTTACATAATTTCATAAACGAGTCTTACTGGACATTCCGATCAGCAATCAGCACATTCTGGGTCGTTGCAGCTATTCAATTAAATATCGCTTAAGCACACTTAAACTGATGAATATGTACCTCTATTTTCATTTTGCCAGTTATCGCATCCTCTTTAACGCTAATAGTCCATTAAAGTAATTTATAAGGGTACGTACACTTTCCCGGGAGTTTTAACATTAAAAATATATAAATTGAAATTATTCATCCTCCGGATGCATTAGACCGGTACAATTTTTATTAGCATAGCTGGAGCAGCTCCTTTCATGAAAAATAAATTATCTCCGTCGTCGAGAGTGCCCCATAAAAAACAACTCGGTATAATTGAATTGGGCTTATTTAATAATGTTCGTTATGGAGCTTTAGTGGTCAAGTGTACGTTAAATACATTTTCTGGTTATTAAAAAGCAATTTCATTTATTATATCGTTATCTGCCTAATTGGATCTCATTTTTTCGAATAGAAAGGCCATTCTTTCGCTGGGTAATTAAAACACTAAACTGACTCGATTAAATTTACCACCGAGTTTGGTTGGGTCGCGGGAGACTTGTTGACCTGTTTATAAATTGAATCCCACATTTTTTTCCAGACTGAACGAAAATATTATGGATGTGTAGATCCACATTGTTAATTAACAACAACATGGCCATAAATTCATAAATTTAACTCGTTTATTAGATTTTATATACTTCTCAAAATCCTTTTTAGGAAATAGCTACTTATTTTTTAATAATCTTTTAACGTACTTAATTTGCAATTTAGAGGCTCTTTATCGTTAATTTATTTATGCTACAAAAGTACATGATCAATGTCTTAGTTGCAAGCGTTACCACCTAAGTCTAGATACAGTGTGTTACAAAAAAAATGGTCAAGTCTTTCATTAAAAATAATGGGACAGTGTGTCGGTATTGCAATAAAAAGTGTTTATTAATAACTCCGTTGTTTTTTTTAAGATATTCAATTAAAATTTTGCATAGACTTTTACCTTATGTCACCACATACGTTTTTTGTAATGTTGGTCAAAAAATCGTTGTACGAACAAAGGAAAAGTAAGCCATAGCACTGATTTCCTTAATTTTGTTCTGCCTATGTCTATAATTTAATTTTTTATATTAGACAATTCCTTCTTTCTAGACCTAGGCGGATCAGTTTTGAGGCGGATGTGAGAGGGGACAAGCAATTTTTTTCTGGATTACCTTCAGTATAACTCACATAATAATAGTGTAGATCCCCTAGATCGGGGTGAGGTCCGGAACATTTTCAAAATTGCAAAAATGTTTAAAAAATTTAAAAAAAATTTCTGTTTTATCCAAGTTCTTTACTTATATCTTTGAACCTATGCATTTTGGAAGAATATTGAAGAGGGAAAAAATTTTAGAATTTAATTTTGCACAATATACTGAGTTAAAAATGTTTAAATGTATTACCGATGTTAATTTTTTTAAAATACTTATTTTAATTGCTCCGAGGGCATTGCAATTTTGGAAAAAATACTTTAGAGTATAATAAAACAACATACCAAACATTAAAATCCGTTCGATAGTTTTCGCAAAATAATTTTTTGAAAAAAATTTTGACAAAAAATTTTCGAATTTTCAAAATGTTACGCAGCCTCAAATAAAGCATTTAGATACTTGAAAATTTTTTCACATAGACCGCTCAACATTTCAAATGGTTTTTGAAAAATTGAAATCGGTTTATTAGGACGACCACAGTAAATTTTAAAGTTAACACTCTTTTTTTATTTTTAAAGAATTAGATTACATTTATCGGTAAAATTATTTAAATAATTGTAATAATTATAACTAAATATATTCATATTGAGAGTGTTGAAATAGGTATATACGTAAACAAATTTTTTCATTTTCAAAAATGAAATAGCATAGAGTAAAATAGACAGTAAGTATATTTAATGTATAAATAATAAACTTTGTTTATAACAAAATATGTACAAATTAGACAGTTGGCATTACGATATTTGAATTCCTTGGCTCGCGAGACATCGGATTAAAAAAAATATCGAAATTGGTCCATTAGAAGCCGAGATAATATAATGCAATTTTTTTCGTACCTGCGCATTTTGAACCTCCGATATCAGTCTCAGAGCGCAAGCTCCCTCCCCCACTTTTCGTGTTTTGAGTCAGTTTTCACGCGTGCTAGCGACAGCTTTTCCGATGATTTATCTATGTTGCCGATAACTTATGAATATGAAATTTTTTTCCATATTTTTATTCGGAAAAACAAAGCCACTGGATCAAAGAATATTGCTAAATTGTTTATAAATTAACGGTAAATGCCGATAAATTTTGACAGCTTATATCTCGAGAATCAATAAACGGAATTTAACTTAAAAAAAGGAACGTCTTTCCGAGTACTTTAAAATTATAATTTTTGAAAAAAACTAAATTGCAATTTTAATTGTTTAAAAATAAAAAAAAAGAGTGTCGACCGATTTCAATTTTTCAAAAACCATTTGAAAGGTTGAGCGGTCTACAAGTATCTAGATGCTTTATTTGAGGCTGTCCATTTTGAAAATTCGAATTATTTTGTCTTTTTTTCATCAATTATTGCTATTTTGCAACATCGGTAATAAATTTAAACATTTTTACAGTGTACTGTGCAAATTTCGATTCTAAAACTTTTTTTCCTCTTCAATATTCTTTCAAAATGCATAGGTTCCAAGATATAGGTAAAAAAAATGTTTTTTTTAATTTTTTAAACATTTTTGCAATTTTGAAAATGTTCCGGACCTCGCCTAGATCTAGGGTTATGTACTTTTATTATGTGAATTGTACTTAAGGTATTCCAGCAAAAATTAGCTTACATCCAAGAAAGAAGTGGGATATTTCGACAGATCCGCCCTGGTCTATTCGTTTTTTAATTCTTGCAGAATTTTTATTCAGGGCTTAGTTTATAAAATATTGTAACTTTTTGACACATCATAGTTAGGAGTTTTCGAGGACGGAAATCAAGATAGCAGTGTTATTTTTCACCCCACCCTCCGCAACTACACCCAACGTAAAAAAACCATCCTCTCTTCCATGCTGTCGGTCCTAGGCATGCGGGGATTCGTCAGATCGGGATTTTTATGTGAATATCAAGGAAATTAAATATTTCTAATGTACAGTTGACTTCAGGAATCATCGGGTCTTGAAACTACTCTGCTCGCAATACGGAAATCACCAGAAAAGTGAGAAAAAGAGCTTTTTACGGGTTTTCGAGGGCGGGGGTCACGATGGTGGTGTTATTTTTCACCTCACCCTCTCGTAAGAACCCCCAACATACAAACAAAATGTTTTCATACTAAGTGACTTTTAATACAAACGAAAAAGGTCGCCCATATCGATATTTTTCAAAATATAATAATAAAAATATTTCTTATATGATGCGTGTATTCCTTAATGTCCGACGCCTCTACGACACGTCTCTTATTGTTGCAGGTCATCTGATTAAAGACCACTCGAAACACAAAGGCAGTGGCGGCGGCGGTGATACTGACTTGTTGCAGCTGGTGCGCCGCCTATCCTCCACCGACCATGTGAAGATGGGGGCGAACGTCAGCCGGCACTCGGCCAAAGGTTTGTCGGGACGCAGGTCCCAATCGAGCGGCAGCATCTGCAATGGCAAGGGCAGACACCCCGACGGCAAGATCTGCAGCAGCTTGCCCAGCTATCTCGACGACAGGCAGTCGAACGGCTGCAACAACAACCACCACGAGTGCGAGAAACCACCCCTTGACGAGGTAGGTGTTATTCTTATTATTATTTTCCTTCAAAATAACCTAGAAATAAGCTTTTATCGAAGAGGACACCAACAAGGAATTATTAGTTATAGTTTGGAGAAATATGTATTGGGAAATAGATATATAATGTGGTCTGTTAATAACCAGGATACTTTTCTTAAATTTTTATGGTATATATATTTGTTGAGCCAATTATGATGATCCAGTTGGTAATCCATACATAATCAGTCGCGAGTTTTTTGGAAGCGAGTTTTCGGAATTGTTTCTAGAAAATCTGCTTACGTAGCTCAGTTAAATCCTCAACATCTTAAATTTCAGCAATTTATAGCACTGAATATTTTTACAGCAAGCTAAGGTTTTAAATTCAATGTATTGCTTTTCTTTTCTTTTCTTTTCTATCTAATATACAGGGTGTTGCTTCACGAGAGGGACATAGCTTAATGGGAGATAGAGGACATCTAGGGTAACTAGGATCGCCTATAGAAATAGCTCCTTGGCCATTCTTTATTGAGATACAGGGTGATTTATGATTTTTGGTCAAAACTGCTTTATGTCATAACTTTGGTAGGGAATGGAATAATGGGTTCATATTTGGTAGGGTTAATGCACTCACGATACTTCATGTATGCATGTATGACAGCAAAAAAATCCAGGTCCGGACTGCAACAAATTGTAAATTTTTTGTGCAAGTCTAGAAAACAACACTCTGTATGTATTTTTTTGAAATTCCCTTACGATATTCGGAAAGAGCATAAAAAAGTGATTTTAAAGACATGTTTCTTTTTTTTGTTACACTTTGGTGGTTATTTAAATAAGCTATTGAATATACGAGACTACGGCTTCTAAAACTAAATTATGTGAAGGACACATGATAAAAATGGTTTTGCAACTAAAATTAGCGAAGGCTTAATTGAGGGTAGATGTTATAAATAAGCATGCATATTTAATACATAAATATACATAAACCTCATTTTCTTTAAATAATATGTATTCCAGGTCCGGACTGCAAAATTTTTAATTTTTTTTGTAACTCTAGAAAACATCGCCCCGTATGTATTTTTTTAGTATTCCCATACGATTATCGAAAAGAACATAAAAAAGTAATGTAATCTCAGCGACATGTTTCTTTTTCTTGTTACACTTTGATGATTACTTAAATATACGAGTAAGAAACACATGACATGAGTAAGTAAAAGATACATGATAAAAATAGTAGTTTATTTCTTTTAGTAAATAGGATTTCTAAAAAATAGAAATAAAAAAAGCAAATAGTAACAAAGACTATTTAATAAAACACGGAAAACAAATACCTAACAATAAAACACAAAGAAAATAATAGGTGTCTAAATGTACTTTACAATGGCATATTAATTTTATAGCATATTTTCAAAGTGGCCTCCATCAACTTCGATACATTTTCTTACTCGTTTACCCAAGTTTCCAATTGCTCGACGTATCATTACCGGATTATTTCGTATTTCATCGCAAGCTGTAATGATACGTTCGATCAATTGTTCCCTATTATTGATTTCGACCTTATAAACTTCTGCTTTCAAGTGACCCGATAAAAAATAGTCGCAAGGATTACAATCCGGAGACCTCGCTGGCCATTCGTATGGACCGCCACGACCAATCCATCTGTTTGGATATTCATAATCCAAGTGCTCTCTGACCTGATTGCTAAAATGCGGTGGAGCTCCATCGTGTTGAAAGAGCATACCTCTAATATGGACATTTTCTAAGAGATTGGGTACGATTGTTTGAAGAAAGTTTAAATAAACGTTACCACTTAATTTCTCTTCAAAAAAATGTGGCCCTATTAAATGCCCATTTACAAGCCCGATTCAAACGTTTACCGAAAACCTGTGTTGTGAAAGACATTGGCGTTTTGCATGTGGGTTTTGTTGTGGCCATTCATGGTCGTTCCTTGAGTTATTTATTCCATCTTTTGTAAATTGCGCTTCGTCTGTAAATAAGGTTCTGTAAATGACCGGACGGTGGTTAGATAACCAACGCGAGAAAGCCAACCGGTGGATGTTATCACCTGGTTCAAGACGCTGTACCTGCTGGATGTGGTATGGATAATAACGTTCCCCTTTCAATGTTCTCCATATGTTCCAATGAGGAATATTAATGGCAGAACTAATTCTTCTTGTGCCAGTTTTTGGATTTTGTTGAATTAAATTTAAAATATTGTTCTGTTCTTGAGCATCTTGATGTAAATTACGCTCCAAATTTTTTGAAGTTGGAAACCTCCCGTGTTGTTTTGAGTACTGGAAGACTTTACTAAAAGTTTTATAATTAGGATGCTGACGATCAGGAAAACGTTGCTGATATTCCCTTTGTGCTGCCCTATAACCCATAGATGAATACTATGTCAGCATATCCTTCGTTTGAAAATAAATGCGGCATGTTTAAATTACAAAATTTAAAGTATTAAATGCAAGTTAATGAATACACAATAACACCAGTAAACGGTTTCACAATTCACTATTTAATTACCTGTCACTTTGAGTGGGCCTACTAATAATTAATTTACATCAAGATGTTCAAAAAGAGAATAATATTTTAGATCCAATTCAACAATGAAATGTATGGAAAACATTGAAAAGGAATTATTCATACCACATTCACTCATTTCTTTTTCGCGTTGATTACGGGTAAATAAATAACTCGAGAAACGACTATAAATGGGCACAGCAATACCCANAATTATCTGTCACTTTGAGTAGGCCTACTATAATTAATTTACATCAAGATGTTCAAAAAGAGAATAATATTTTAGATCCAATTCAACAAAATGCAAGGTCTAACATAAGTTCGACTATTAATATTTCTCAATGGAATGTATGGAAAACATTGAAAAGGAATTATTCATACCACATTCACTCATTTCTTTTTCGCATTGATTACGGGTAAATAAATAACTCCAGAAACGACTATAAATGGGCACAGCAATACCCATCTGCAAACGCTTATGTAATTCACAGTACAGATTTACTGTAAATGTTTGGATAGATCTACATGAATGGCAATCGAAATCTACGGATTATAATTTATTTTTTGTCACGTGTTTTTATCATGCGTATTTAAATAATCACCAAAGTGTAGCAAGAAAAAGAGACATGTCGCTGAGATTACTTTTTTATGTTATTTTCGATAATCTTATGAGAATACCAAAAAAATACATACGGGGCGATGTTTTCTAGAGTTACAAAAAAAATTTAAAATTTTGCGGTCCGGACCTGGAATACATATTATTTAAAGAAAATGAGGTTTAAAATATGCATGCTTATTTATAACATCTACCCAAAGTTATGACATAAAGCAGTTTTGACCAAAAATCATAAATCACCCTGTATCTCAATAAAGAATAGCCAAGGAGCTATTTCTATAGGCGATCCTAGTTACCCTAGATGTCCTCTATCTCCCATTAAGCCATGTCCCTCTCGTGATGCAACACCCTGTATAAAATAAATATTATTCATCAGGAGAGTATATTAGTCCCCGTCAGTATGCTACAGGTGTTCGAAATATCTGGTGACTCTGCTGAAGAATATTAGCTACTTACTAGATATTGGGGATGTAGTCCAATGATAGTCGGGTATATACAGGGTGATTCAGAACTGGATTCAGAAATTCTGGATGTACAGGGGACTCTTACAAATACAATTTTGTAAAGAAAAAATCAAAGAGGGTAGTTCGAAATTGATTTAAAAATACACTTCTGCACGGCACTGAAAACTGGTCCACTGTAAAACCTGACCTCGCACAATGCGACCATTATGGCGGCAGTGATAAAAACGGACAAAAACTTGAAATAATTACGCAAGGAAAAGAATAAATAGAATTTTATAGCACCTATTTTATATCAGCAAATTCAACTGTTTTTGCCGCTATTGTTACTATTAATTAATAAAATTAATTTGTGGTTTTAATTAATAAAATAATTTGACATACCTGATGTTGCAACAACTGTTCAAAATTTTGTCCACCGACGCGGCGTGTAAACACATTTGATTCTGTCTTACTAAGTTTCTACGAACTAACACAAATGTTGCCCTGCTTCACCATAACACAAATGTTTCACCATAATACAAATGTTGCCTTGCTTCACCATGAATTAAAACGATATCCATCAACTCCGAGTTGCTATACACACAAGCCATTTTTAACACTAGCTAGGTACTAAAAAGTTATTGTAAACACTACTGCAACGACGATTGTATTGGGAGTCGCTGAGGTCACGTGCTCTCACTCGTATTGCGAATGACGCTAGAGACTACAGTTGTCCAGCGATGTAATGTTTGAAAGTCAACTTAAATAATTTTTTCTCGGAAAGTATAAGGTGTAAGATATTTTCTTAAAATATACGAGGTGACCCAATAAAAAGTAACTTTAATTAAATATTCAATATATGCACAGTACATATGCCTACGTCTAACGCTCTCTATATAATGAATCCCCATTCTCGATTCCTTAATAATACTGTTAACTAAGACGTGACGATAGCCAAAACAAGAAAAATGCAGAGTGAAGCATGTGAGCGCACATAAGAGTCAATCGGCTTCAGCGTCATCGCCGGTCATCAATTATCGAACGGACTTATTTTCTACAAAAAGGATTCTACAAAATTTTTTTTTACGATATTGACCCCATTTCTCATGCCGCATCTATTTTCATATTTTTTTGGATAAGTTGTGAATCACCCTGTATAGTAATTTCATACGAGAAGGGAAGCTATCTGATGAACAATCCCAGGTGAAATGTAGAAACAAATATATCTCTTTATAATACCTATCTGTTTTTTTTTTCGTTATTAGTCTTTGTCAAGAGTAATAATAGGACAGTAAGAGTACAGGATATTCCTTAAATACACTGTGCAACAACCAAAATCGGAATGTGATGAAACCAAAAGAAAATGAAAGTTGACGCTCTCCATAACAAAACCCTCATGGGTTTTTTCTAGTTCAGTGATCGTTTTCTTTTACACGCATTTG